TCACATCATTGTGCCATGTCATCTTAAGATCTTGGTTATGATTCAGTTCAAGCTATTTCATTGCATTAAAGTACTTAATATCAAGAAGATTACCTTGATTGTTGAAATCTTAATTTTGATATAGTAGATGATGAGGACATCTTTCACTTTTTAGTTCATTTTTTAATGATATCCTAAATTCCTTTTTTAGTAGAGAGGAACATAATATGACCCATTGATTTTAATCATCATTATATTTCATAATCATGTTATAATCATGGATTTTGTTTCATTCCAAAGTATAAATTTAGGATCTTTTAGCTCTGAAGGAGGATCCACAAGATGATCGATTTCTTTTTTCCTTTCAAAAACGCCTTAACAATTTAGAACCATTTTAGATAATTTCTTCATCCATGCAATATGAGGCTTGTAGCCCTGGAGTTCTCCTTTAGTCTTGTTTTCACTATTTGTGATGGTCGATTCTTTGGAAGGGAGTAAAAAAAGTTAACCATAATGATGAGAAGGAAGAAGCATTATAAGAAGGAAGAAAAAAAGAATAAAGGTTAGAAGTAAAAAAAAAAACTTAATCATGCTCTGATACCATATATGAAAATATAAAAGTGGATTTTCTTAAAAATTTTTATTATATGATTTTGTATAAAGTGTGAAAGAATTTATGAACTTCTCCAAAAGGCTTACAATGAAATAAATCCAAGTTATTTACAAAAAAAGAAAAAAAAAGTTACCAAGTGGAGCCGACAGATAGAATATGAAAGATGGTGCATATGTTGCAATTTAAAGTTCATAAAAGGATCAATTTAATGATTATAACCTTGAATGTGTATGCTCAAGGTTCGCTATCAAGATTGATTGACTTGTGGGTCTCTCGATCCTTCAACAAGATCCATCCAAAAGGAATTGCTTTTGTAGGTTGTAGTATATTGACTTCAAATTTAGCATGTTAGTAGAAAAAAATGATAAAATTGTACTCATTGTGTTCAAACTCATCCATTCCCATTACATCATTAGTAAGTAGTAACCTAAGCCTAACTCATCATCAGCAGCAGTAGCCTTATCACAATTATTTGGGGTTGGCAAACCAAAATGCTAGTTATTTATGTTACTTTCCAAATTCCTTTTTGGCTTTTGTTCCTCGATAGAGCTGCTACATATGTGATCTAATTTGGCTAAAATTTTAAAAACTTCAAAGCATATCTGCTTCGGCTTTCCCCTTATAATTAGTTCTTCCTCTTTTCTGGATTCTTAATTTCTCACTCTTAATTTAGTTCTCTGGAGAAATGCATATTGATTTTTTGGCTATAATCTCGGATGAGACCTGGACAAACTTTATCTCAGAACTTTTCATAGGCTTTACATTAGCTAGAGATTGCTTAAGTAATCTTTTAATTACTGATAAGCTTAAGATTTTCTTTTCATCAAAGAATCTTAGATATTGCAAGGTGGTTTGTTTTGGCTCATACATCATTGTCCTGTAAAGGTACTGATATACTTATACATTAATTGTATTACTTTTGATTTGGAGCTCATCAAAACTATGTTATTCTTTTTTTTTTATAGTCTGCTTCAATAATATTGCAAGGCACTGTTCATTATCCGCCTAAAACTTCCGCACAGCTAGAATTCAAACCCCTCCCCTTTATGTGAGAGTTATGTGGGCTCCGAAAATTTGGCCCCGGCCTCCGCTCGCATGATTTCTTGCTTTTTTCATTTGGCGAGGGAGTTTTAACGGATATGTTCCGGGGTAAATTTTGGAAGGCAGATGGGTTTGTAGATAAGACACTACTCAGAGATTTCGCCCTCATTTTGCGAGGACTTTATGATCTGAGTTCTGGTTTCCTATAGGCGCAAGCCCCTTTAAAAATAAATAAATGTAATTAATTAAAATTAATTAAAGTAATTACAATTAAAATAATAATAATAATAATAATAATAATAATAATAATTAAAACAAATTTCCTCTCTCTCTCTCCCTCCCCACTCTTTCTGTTCGGGATTTTGGCCGGAGAAGCGTGCGAGCAGGGAGAAAGTTACCTTCACTTCCAGTGAGCTCCTTTGCTTGCTTCCGATCAAAATGTTGTAACTTCCGATCCGAGAGCAAGGGAAAGTCGTGGAAGAAGCGAAGTCCGACAGCTACCAGGGGCCGAAGAAGAGCGCTGGAAGGGAGAAAGTTGTCGTCCCAGCTAGCGAGCTCCTCTGCTTGCTTCCGATTAAAATGTCTAACTTCCGCTCCAACTGGAAGGGAAAGTCGTCGATGGAGGAGGTCGCACAGCCACGGAGGACCGAAGAAGCGTGCGAATGGGAGGGAGTAACCTCACAGCCGGTGAGCTCTGTTCTTTCGCCCGATCAAAATGTCGTAACTTTCGATCCAACGGTGAGGGAGGTCCGTCGGAGGAGCGATCGAACTGCAACAAAGGAGTCGGAGAAGTGACGCCAAAGGGAGGAAGTTAACTTCACACCAGTTAGCTCCTATTGTTGCTTCCGATCTGACGAGTAGGGAAGATCGTCGAAGCTACGAAGTCGAACAACAAAGGGATCGGAGAAACACACGAGAGGGAAAAATGAGAGGAAAAACTGAGAGCCTCGTCTTCTCCGATATTTAATAACGCCAGGCAAAGCGTCGGGGCAGACAATGCATTCAAGGCGAACATGGGATTGGCGGCGTTGATCGTGGGCGACGACGTGCTGAATTCGGCGCCGGACAGGTACGTAATTATTTTTTTTTTTCTTTTTGGATACAGTTACGGGTCAACAAGTTAGAGAGTCGTTTTACCTAACAATGCATCTAATGCAGCCTTTTTATGTGAGAAATGAATCACAAAACTAGCAAGCTCTCAGGAAAGATGGATATTATTTTGAGAAATTATTTAATAGAATCCTTCAGAAACACTTTTAGAAGAGCATAATAAATATAATAATGTGGTATGTTGTGGATTGATTTAAGAGAGTGAAATGGACTGAAGAAGATGCATAGGTAAATTTTTTGATCCAGATGAGATACTAAATGGGATTTGGAGAGTCATGGGTGATGTGTAGCGGTTTGTTAGATATAAATATTTTCAATGAAAAATTGCACGCTAAGTGCATTTTAAATTATTAGAAAAGTATTTTGGCATTAAATTTTAAGTAAGAAAATATTGAGGGTTGTGATAATCATAAATGAATCAATTGTATAGTCATACAATGAAGTCATGGAAGAGTAATTAAAAATTGACATAGAAACTTTATCTATTTTGGACAATCAATTATGCACCATAAAAATCATTATGGAAGTGATTTTTGTGTCATGATAATAATAAAAAAGTATAAATTACATAAAGGATTTTTGTATGGTTTTTTTTTTATTATTAAGCATGAGATAAAATACTATAAATGTTGATTTGGTGTGCATTACGAAGTCAGTTGTTACATAAATGTTGAAGTTGATGAGAGAAAGCATTAACTAGTACTTAAGTAGTTGCGGAGTGGCCAAAGAGTTTTTTTCTATTATAATGAGATTATATCAATGATCAAGATTGAGTATATTTTTGTATTGATTGTTGAGTTATTCATAAATGATGTTTAAAGAGAGGTGCCTTAATTTATGCTTTTCGTGGATTCTGTAGCTTTAATTTGTTAGATATCTGTTAAAATGAATGTAAATTTCAAACATAAAAAAAATATTTAAAAGTTAAAGGGCTAAGAATTAAAGACGAAGTGTATAAATATAATTTTAGAGGCGTTGCTAACAATTATCACTAAATATTATTGGCATGTATGGTGATATTTAGGCTTGATAGGTTTAAGTATCTTCAATTTATTATATAATAATGATCAAAATGAGGTAACTTCTAGAGTTGAGGCTTGTGATTAAACGAGAAATTGCTTGATGCATATTATAGTATAAAATGATATAGTGAACATTTTAAGAGAAATGTTATGAAATTTTAATTAGGTCGGTTATACTGTTGGGCAACAAAAAAGGTGGTAGTCAAGGTAGGCATTGTGGAAATAAGAATGTTAAAATGGTGCAGCCAAACCAAAAATGATAAATTGAGGAATGATTATATATTAAAGGGGGGTTGAAGTAGCATCTATTGAAGATATCGTAGTTGAAAATATAGGCTTATGTGATTTCAACATGTACAATGAAGGGTAGAAATATAAAATTGAGGTTTGGTAAAGCCAATCCCAAATATGTGTATAAGGCTAATGATGATATCCATCCTAATTAATACTAAACCCACTTGGTAATTTTATGATAGAAGTATTTCCATATTCTTATTGCTCTGCTTATTTTTTATTCCATTTGTGGTAGTTTTTGTTTATTTGTGGTGTTAACTACAAAAAGAGTGTTAATTTTTAAAATTTTATTGTCCTTCAGGAATTACTTTTCTCTCTAAAATTTAATAGCCTCTCCTGTTTTTCAAATAAGTTGACTTCAATGAAAGCTTTAACGGGATTTGCACTTTAAGATTTGGTTTCTCTCTAAACTAGTTCAAGAAAGAAAGGAGTTTGTAAATTATAAACTGGTCACAGTACATTTCTAGAAGCTTGAGCTGATTTTGTGAGGTGATTTTTGATGGGAAGCCCGTGCGTGATGTGCTTATATGTCGACGTGAAGAAATTGATCCAATTCTTATAATCTCCATGCTGAATTCTTAACATGATTCATAGGATTTTGTGGATCCCGCAGGTTAAGAATCTGCAAGTAGCAGCTTTTATCATTTTATGATTTTAATTTTCATGTTGATGCAAGTTTGGGGCTCATTTGATTACTTCAAGTTAGAAAATATGATTGGGAAAAAGATAAATTCACTTTATTTCTGTATTTTGGTTGAATTTTTTTGGCAATTAATGCGGGTTTAAACTCTACAAATGCATTCAAAATCCCACGAAATAAATTATGATTTACTTTAACATACAAAATGAGTGAAAATGAAATTATTGTTTCTTTTTAATCATGTTCCCCATCTAGAAGCGACCATATAAGCAACGAATGTAACGTATCCCTTCATATTCAGGTTGCCTTTAAGACCAAGGTCTTCCACCCAAATATCAATAGCAACGGAAGTATCTGTTTGGATATTCTGAAGGAGCAGTGGAGCCCTGCTCTGACCATTTCTAAGGTATGGAATTGCAAGGAATTGTTGATATTGTTGCTGTGTTTGATAAATATTCTAGCTGTTTGACGAAGTCTTGTCAGGGGTTTAAACTTTGAGGGCTCAGTTCTGCAGAATTGTTTTACTTTTCATTAGTTTTTATCCTGTTAGACTTTGTTGATAAAAACTCGTCTCAAATGTGCTAGTCCTATTTAAGAGCACTTTATGTTTATTATATTATTATGATGGGGTTCCCAAGCCCAGTCCCACTGGCAGCGAGAGGACCTTTATTTTATATGTCGTGGGAATATATGTAATTAACATCATTAACTTTTTTTTCTCTCAGATATTTTTTCTGAACTTATGATTGCAAAGAGCAATTTGTTTTTGGTAATAAATCTGTAGCCATTTACTTTTAGTTTTTTACCCCGTTTTTCATTTCATTTACAAGAAATTCTTAGCATCCAGGTCGAACATATATATTTTCCTTAACTAAACTGTTGAAGTCATTTGTAAACTCAGCCGCAGATCCTTTCATCCTATTCTTTATAACTAAAAAGTATGTTGTTTTGCTGATGTTGTCCGTACAACTGTCATTTTAGATGGACTACTGGATGCTTGAGAGCTTGCTTTCCCTAATGATATGAGTGCTATTGACTAGTCTCCGCTCTGCTCCGTGGCTTGATGGTTGGTACCATGATCCCCCTGTCATTAGAGGCCATGGATTTTAGTAAGAGGATGGGTGCGTGTATCATGTAAGGTTATAAAAACGAACCGAAAGTCAAACCAAAAAAAGGGGAGATTAATGATTCGATGGTTATGACAAACTTTGATTCAGCCATTTGTGATGAGGTTATCTTTGGGCAAACTTTGATTCCATGATCACTAATCTTCAACAAATGAGCTTTCACTCTATAATATGATCCTTTGTATGTTGCATTACAAAAATTGCATTTGAATGCAATATTGCCCCTCCCCCTTCTGATGTTTACCTATTTTTGTAACATAACTCCATAGAGGTTTGTTATCTTCAATATTGATTTCTGATGGACTATCATCAGAACCAATTCCCACTCCACTAGAGCTCATTATTCTACAAAGGATTTATACAAATAAAAACATATGAATTTGAAACATGAAAAAATTTAAGTGAAAGTGTAGATATGTTGTGACTCTACCGGGGGTCCAAGGGGGCGCTGTCCCCTGGCGGGGTTCGACCAGGGTTGTTTTTATGAAGTGCTGTTTATTTTTGAAGTTGTTTTTATGAAAAGATACCGAGCGGTACCGAGCATGTTTTAGCTTCTCGGTGCCGCTTGGTACCATTCGGTACCCCTCTATACCGAGCGGTACCGAGCAATACCGAGCGGTACCGAGCAATACCGAAAATACCGAGTTCCAATACCGAGCGGTACTGGAGTGGTACCGAATTCCAATACCGAGCGGTACCGAGTTCCAATACCGAGTGATACCGAGTTCCAGTACCGCTCGATATCGAGCAGTACCGAGCAATACTGAGTTCCAGTACCGTTCGGTACCAAGTGATACCGAGCGGCTCGATATCGAGCCTATGTTTAAGAAAACGAAGAACGACAAAGAAAACGAACCTTCACTGCTCACGTCGCCGTCACTATTCGCGTTGTCGAGCCGCTCCGTCGACGAAGGATGATCCTATCGACTTTAATGCTCGCGTCGTCAAGCCTCTTTGTCGACAAAGGATGATCCTGTTTGCTTCTATGCTCGCGTCATCGAGCCGCTCCTTCAACTATAACGAAGAAGATGAACACTTGTGTGGAAACGAAAAACCTAGCTCTTTGAAATGTTTCAGCCGCATAAATGAATATGGATATTGAGCGGAAATGGTGGAAAGCCGAAAAGAATAGGGTAAATTGCGGCTCCGTATTTTTTTTAATAGGACACGCGTATCCGATACGCGTGTCCAGTCAAATTTAAATAGTATTTTAATTGGATACGGCAAAGCTGTATCCGACACGTATCTGTGCCGTATCGGAGGCGTATCCGTATCCGACACGTGTCTGATACAGCACGCCTCGTAAATAGGAGTATCCGTGCAACATAGGTGTTAGCTCATCCCGCACGTCCTCGCATCATTAAAAAACATGAGAGAGGGAGGGCTTCGACCCTCTTGTTACAAATTGACTTCGTTCCTTCTCCCACTTTCCCTTTCAGTTGGATTAGAGGTTACGACATTTTGATTAGAAGCAGCGGCAGGAGTTCGATCGTTGTGAGGTCAACTCCCTTCCTCTCACGCGCTTCTTCTCTTTTCTTCGTTGTTGTTCGGCTTCGTTGCTTCACAAGAGGTGTAGAGATTGCAAGCATCGCTACTTCGTCTCCTTAGTGGCTGTTCGACTACGCTCCCTCTACGACTTTCCCTTCCTGTCGGTGCGGAAGTTACGACATTTTTGATCGGAAGAGACAACGGGAGCTTGCTTGCTGTGAAGAAAACTCTCTTCCTTTGGCGCGCTTCTTCGTTGTTGTTCAACTTCTCTCCTCCCGCGACGTTCCCCTCTTGTTTGATCGGAAGTAGTGACGGGAGCCCACTATGAAGGTAACTCTCTCCCTTTCACGCGCTGTTTCGACCAAATCCCGTAAATCCTCCATAGAAGAAAGGGGAGGATTTAATTGGCTTTAGGAGGTTTGAGAATTGCCTAAATCCTGTTAACAGGATTTTGTCTAAACCCTTAATTAAATCATGCATTAATCCTGCATATAAATAGCTCTTTTTGGTATTTGTGATTAATGATATTTAATTGTAATTAATTAATAGTAATTATATTTGATTATAATTAATAATTATTAATTATAGACTAATTATTATTAATCATGATTAATTGCGATTAATTTTAATTGATCTTAATTAATTATCGTTAATCTTAATTTATTACTATTAATTAATTATTGTTAATTACAATTAAATATAATTTATTATTATAATTAAGAGCTTCTCTCTTGTGCCTTGATCCTCGTGTCAACCTCGTCGATACTCCTTGCAAAGGTATAAAGCCGTAAAGCTTGGAAAACCTATTCTTGATGCTTGTATCGCGGCGAATAACCATCCATGTGCGCTTTTCTTAGCACAGTGGGAGGAAGTTCGTCGCGGCACTCGCTGCGAGGTGGGCAATCCCCCTCTAAAGTCCTGTTTTCGGCGTTTGCAGCGTGCCGAGGGACCCCCTGTGCATGCTTTTCTTACCATAGCGAGAGGAAACTCGGTGCGATGCTTTCGACGAGGAAAATGAGCCTTGTGCACGCTTTTTTTAGCTCGGCAGAGCAAAAATATAAGTACCCGTACGTGGGGAAAGAACTGCTTTTTCAAACATGTACTTTTAAAGACCCATACACACCTTTCTTGCACGTCTTTCTTGACGTGGCGGTCTGGCTATGACTCTTGGTTTTTCCTTTAATGGGGGAGACGTCGGGAGGCTGCCAGAATTTGGACCGAATATTCAAGGACTTGGACAAATAACGTGGGACTTAAACTTGTGAATTTGGACTTGGACTTGTATCTAAACACAAAGCAAAATGATTAATAAACTACTTGAATCTAAATCATGGTTTAAAATTGCACAATATGAGGCTCGCCTTTGCGTAATTCCAATAAAAAACGCCTCGATGCTTATGCCTCGAGTTTTCTTAGATATTTTGATTTCACATAATATCTTATGATTTTTTTTGTTTTATATTATTCACTCATTAGTATATAAAAAATTTATCATTTTATGTTTACGCAATCTTTTGATTTTGAGGCTTACGCCTCAAAACGTCTTGAGGCTTACACCTCGCCTCACGAATGAAAAACGCCTCAATACCCGAATACGCAATTTTAAACATTGATCTAAATGAAATAAGTTCGAACTCGAACTTGACTCGAATATTAAGTGAATTTGATTTGAATAATTTGGATTCAAACTCAAATGGGCATGGTGAACTTGAACTCGAACTTGATTTAAAATAGTGGATTTGGACTTAAATGAATGATGGGGAGCAAACTCAAACAAATATGCAAAGATTTGTGCCCAGACTTGTAAATCCAAACTTGAATTGAACGATCAAAAGGAATCTGAACTCGAATCAAACTCAAACAACCAAGGACTTGTTTCAATGTTGCTCGTTCACGAGCGACAAAAGAATTCAATATACAACGAGCTAACAACGAAGGTGTATTCGAAGAGTCCGAAGCAAATGCAGTTTTCATACAATCAATATCACTTGATTGTAAGTGAGTATTGTGCTCTCCTACAAGTAAAGACATACGACGAATGTGATGACTCGTTGTTTGATGTGCATGAAGGAGGAATACAAGAAAATGCAAGATCTATTGTAGATACGAACACTTGTTGGCAGTGATAGAAAATTTGCCACAATCACAATGGGCTTATGAGTACTAATTAGCAACAGGCAATGGATGTTATGTCATCCTTGCAATCAATGCTCTATCAATGGCCAATAAATACATTCATCTACTGCAATTGGAGGCAGATGATATGAAGTGAATACAAGTGTCTATGAGTGATTGTAGAAAGCCTGTGATATACCCAAAACATCATCCACAATATAAATGTTAAAGGATTACAACAAATTCCAGTCCCTTTAGGTTATAGTAAATTCGTCGTACATATAACACTCCATTCAAGTAGTAATACTTTATATAGTACTTGTGGATAACAACAGTGGGTATATTGTAAGTACAACGAACCCCTGTGGACAGAAGTACATACTACACCTATAGCAGTAATGATTGAGATGTTGTAAATACGAAGAATCTCCTATGGACACCCACAACATTAGTGATTGAGATGCTGCGAGTACGTCGAGTATAAAGACAACTTGATCTATTCTCAAACAATCTCTTGTCAGTAAAGACGTGGTACGTGCTCTCTAACCTACAGTTTTGCCGTCAAATTGCACTGCAGGGGGTAAAGGGTTATGACCCGAGGCCCTCTGAACCAAGTGGTTTTTCCACCAAATGGCACCACTAAATACCGATTGTGGTCAGAGCCAATACGTTACTT